CATGCTGGCCACATAACCCAGAAAGCTGTCTGTGGACAAACGCCGGCTCCCTCTGCCTGAAAGCCAGATGAGCACCAGGACTTAACCGTCCAGTCGGTCCTTTACCTTTACCTTTATCAAACTGGGAAAGCCTGTCTGAGCAAAATTGCTTTTGATTGTTTCTGGAAAGGGATGCTCTTCCGCAGACCGGGGCAGCCACCCAGAAGGCCCTGCTCCAAATTACTACACTGGGGTGAACAGAGCCCTGACAAAGCTGCAAATCACCCTTCTCCTCTCATCAGATCAATCATTTGATGAACAGAGAGGAGGCAATAACCCTGCCACTCTGCTCCCCATCACTGGATCTGTGCCAATTGGCTGGAGAGGGCAAAGTGCCCTCTGTGTATATAGAGTTTGTGGGGTACCCCCACCCACATACCTTTGACTGCACCCAACGCTGGCATGCAGCCCCTGGAGAGTTGACCAAAGGTGAGAAGGGTGGGGCAGATTGATTAGCTGCCTTTGCCTTACAATAAACCTGTGAGGTCGGCTTGAATTATTATCCTTTTGAGGAGGGAGAAAACAACAGCCTGCCTAACTTGGAGTTTTGCAGTGGATGGCTCAGTCTTAGCCATTACACATTAACTGTAGGATTTGGGGGGAAATTGAAAGCCAGAATTGTCCAGCATCCCCAACAGGAGGGCAGCTGTGTGCACACACCCAGAGACTGGGAAATACTAGCAAATAATAATAATAATAATGAATAATTTTATTTATACCCTGCCCTCCCCGGCCAGAGCCAGGCTCAGGGCAGCTAACAACAGTAGAATTACAGTAAAAACATAATGGGGGGGCAATTTAAAATACAGGTTAAAATGCAATTTAAAATGCAGCCTCATCAAAACCATAAGGGGAGGGAAACATAAGGGTCAGACTGAGTCCGAACCGAAGGCCAGGCGGAACAGCTCTGTCTTGCAGGCCCTGCGGAAAGATGTCAAGTCCCGCAAGGCCCTAGTCTCTTGTGACAGGGCATTCCACCAAGTCGGGGCCAGTACTGAAAAGGCCCTGGCCCTAGTTGCGACCAATAGAATAGAATTGTAGAGGTGGAAAAGGCCCCAAAGCGTTGTCTAGTCCAACCCCCTGCAATGCAGGAATCGCAACTAGTCCCCGGAAGCTGGTGCTACTTGGAAGCTTTGATCCCAGGGTTTCCCCCCCCCCAACTCACCCTGCCCCTCATCCAGCAAGAGCTCCTCTCTGCTCCCCTCGCTTCATCCCCCAATCCTGTGTCCTCATCCTAGCCAGCTCCCTGGCCCACCCAGTCCCCTGCCTCTGGCCACACAGCTCCTGCCAAGGTCAGCAGCTGCCATAAGTGCAAAACACAGGGGAAGTCAAGCGCTATTTAAAAAAGACCATGGAAGAACATCAACATCCAAGTCACCAGAATGGAAATGAGGTTGGTGATAACAATGTTGTTTTTATAGACTTTTAAACAATTGATAGAAAGATCCTATTCTGAAAGGGTCAGTTTATCAGGGTTTTAGTTGGCCAGGACTTTGTACAGGGCGTTATTCAAATGCTTCAGAAGTACCTGCTTAGCAAACATCTCAGGGGCCAGGTGAGAGCTCAGGTGATCTCGAGAGATGGGCCAGCTTTGGATTGTTATTTTTAAATGTCCCAATAAACTAATAAACCTTTTGGTTTCATGTGAGCTCCTGAAAAGGTGATTGCTTTATTAAGTGGCAGCTTCGCTGAGTTGGCAGATCTGTAACCTGGACCTCACCTTTCATCTTCCACCTGATTTCATCTCTCTGTGGGGCTTGGGGAAAGTGCGTCAAACTTCATTTTGAATCCCCATCAACTCTCAACTATGAAATTCACTATCTGACCTTGGGCCAGTCGCTTTCTCTAAGCCTAACCTACTTGCAAGGTTGTTGTTGTGGAGATTAAATGAGGAGGGGGAGAATCATGCAACTCACCTGGAGATCTTTAGAGGAAAAGGTGTGATAAAAGCAATAGGTAAATAAAGTTGTGCAAATATGTTCTAACAGGTGTAACCACAGATTGCCAATAAGGCGAGATAACAGCTAGATAAGGTGGTTTTAAAAGGGCAAACCTGTTGCAATCTTCTTGCAACTTCCAGTCTATTGGAGGGAAAGACCCATGGCCTTGCTGTGTGCCAACTTCTGTGTAAATATTTTGCACTTTGCGCAATGTTCAGACCACCCATGGCACTGATGGGCAACGTGACTCTCCTGATATGCGCATTATCAGAAAATAAAGTGAGGTCATTTCAGATGATGGCTTCCTTCCAAGTCTATGGCTCTTTGATCATCTTGTGGTCTGATATCCACAACAGGTGTAAGTCTACTTAAAAGAGATGGTTCGTCTAAGAATCTCAGATAGACTACCTCTGGACCTGGAGGTTCCATAAGAAGATAAGAAGAGCCGTGCTGGATCAGGCCAATGGCCCTAGTGCAGCATCACAGTGGCCAACAAGATGCTGGTGGGAAAACAGAAAGTAGGACCTGAGCACAAAATCCCTCTCCCCTCCTATGACTTCTAAAAACTGGTATTCAAAAGCATTGCTGCCATCAATAACCCTCTCTCCATGAATTTGTCCAATCCTCCAAGTGGTGGCCATCACTGCCTCCTGTGGCAGTGAGTTCCATAGTTTAATTTCAGTGGGTCTTTGCTGGGGAAGCAAAGTTGAATACAGTACAAGCCAAAGTGGGGCACCTGAGCACTGCACCTTCTTTTTCTTGTTAGTCTTCCAAGCCGTTGTCTCACTTTTATGCACAAAGCCTCAGGAGCTCACAATGAAATTAATTCCGTGTTGCGTGAAACGAGAGGCCTGAAGGAGGGATAGAGGAGAAATTTGGTTCACCTCACATTTTAATGCAAACCTGCTTAATTCACACTTCCTGAAGCAGGACATAAAGCCCAAAAGACATCCATTTTGAAATTCATACTTCTCCAAATTTTGCAATGCAGCTTTCTAACAAAAAATATGTAGGAAAAGGTATGTGCTTAGAGGAAAGTGGGCATGATAAGGCATACATTAGTGAAAATAACACAAAAAACTTCATTACATTTAGGGAAATGAATTGCAAAAATATTTAAATAGGGGAAATGTGTAGTTAATTGTGGATGAATTTCTGTGAGAACTTTTTTTTTTTTTAGCACCTCAAATCCCAGGCAGGAATGTGGCAAAATGAATTGAAGATTCGTCAGAAAAATGAGAAACTGAGAAAAACCAAAATGGACAGATTTGTCCAACACTAACATGAGTTAGAAAGATCTGGTTTTCATGGCTGCCTTTTCCTTTGGAGTACTCAGATAGGTGTGTCACCTTAGTTTTTGTCAAAATAGTGCCAATCATTGCTATGACTTAGTTTGTTGGCCTAAACTACTGAAAAGTGAGACCGTATTATTTCCTCACCAAACAAAGGAGCACAATAATGACTATGGTTTGCTGCATATTCAGGTTCAACTAGAGACTTGAAATCCACCCCCCACCAAAGTATTTATGAAGTGTTACCCCCATCCATCCATCCATCCATCCATCCACCCACCTTACACAGCTGCTTAAAGCAGTTAATATTTCCTTCCTTCTGGCACATGGGGTGGAGGGAGCTATTTTAAGATGCTCCCAGGAAGTGGCTGCAGGTCATAACAAGCTGCCCCTACCTGGGAAACTGCATGGGGAACAAGATGGCTGCCCCTGTCCAATGTCCTTGTAAGGATATGAGGGAGATTGTGAGAGATAAAGATGGCTGCCCCCTGCCCTGATACAGCCATCAGACAGCCCTTCTTTTCTCTGTACGATTTCCCAGGAAGGGGCTGCACATTATAAAACAGCAGTATGTTGTTGTTGTTCACCCATGAGGGAGGTATCAGCTGCTCTAAGAAGGCCGTAAAATGTGAAAAAAAAGAGGCAGCTCTCAGCCAACCTTGTAAGTACAGTGGTACCTCGGGTTACATACGCTTCAGGTTACATACGCTTCAGGTTACAGACTCTGCTAACCCAGAAATAGTGCTTCAGTTTAAGAACTTTGCTTCAGGATGAGAACAGAAATCGTGCTCCGGCAGCGCGACAGCAGCAGGAGGCCCCATTAGCTAAAGTGGTGCTTCAGGTTAAGAACAGTTTCAAGTTAATTACGGACCTCCAGAACAAATTAAGTACTTAACCCAAGGTACCACTGTACAGAACAGATCCCACATGGGTCAGTTTGCCAGTTACTCAGCTTAATCCACAAATCCATGCTCTGGGCGGTGCATGGGGTTGGTGTCTGTGTGTGAATGCGATGGGCACATTCACTCCAGACTGTGGACAAAACCAGAATCCTCCCTACAGTGGATGCTTGCTTGCCCGCCCCACCCCACTTGTGTGGGCATCCCTTTGGGGAATCTGGTTGGCCCCTGAGAGAACAGGATGCTGCACTAGGTGTGCCCCCTTTGGCCTGATCCAGCAGGCTCTTCTTATGCCCTTATGCCTCTCCCCCAGCATTCCTTTCCTCCCTTCAGCTACACTGTCATGATGACTTTCATCCACCGGGTCCAAGTCTGGTCAATGCCAAAAACAGGGCAGAGGCAGTGGAAGAACTTCCACAGCTGCCCATGTGGCAGAGCCAGGCTGCTCCACTTGTGACACCTTTGGCAGAATATTTCACCGTGTTGGGACTGTACCACTTCAGCATCCCACCCAGTGGTCCTGCCTTGGAAAAGTCCCCTGTGCCGACAGCCCCTTGCACGTATGAAATCTATCATGTCAGGGAGGTGGAGTTGAAAAGGTTTTTTCTTCCCTCTGCCCTCATCAGCTTCCTTCCTTTTAGAGGGGGAAATATTCAATGGTCCGATTTCTCCACACTGATTCTGCTGATTGTGTGGCAGGGCTCCTAGCTGCCATGAAGGGATATTTTTTTAGCTGTGATTGTAGGGGGGCATCCCTTCCAACTCTACGATTTCATTAAGACACAGGTGTTTAAATTGGACAAACAGACAGAGCTGTCAAGTCACATGGCAATGCTTGTGCAAGTTAATTTTATTCTCCTATTTCAGAACAGTGGGAAACAGAGGCGGGGGGGGGAGATCTATCAGAGTGTCTACGGGGAGGAGGGGACTGTGCTGGGCTTGGACACCAGGTTTGCTTCTAAGTGATTGTGTTGCAGCCATGGAAGGAAAGGAGTGGACCAATTGGAGGGGGGATTTCTCCTTCCCCCACCCCACAATTGGCTGGCGGCAGCATCTGGGAAGGAGGCAGAGGCTTCAATCTTCACTTTCTTCAACAATTTTCACTTCTCTGCAGCGATGACCGACGACATGGTGTCGTCCCCCTTCGCCTTGTCCGCCAACATACATTGAAAACGTGCATTTCTGGATCTGAAAGCAGAAGGAGAAGAAGGCAGAAACGAAAGGAAGAAAGATGTCAGTCCGGGAGGGCTTGTTTTTATTCATTTCAATATGCCTCCACTCTTCTCTTAAAGACAAGCCCTATCAGGGCTCTCCCTGAAATCATGGCAGAAAGGGTAGATTTGGGCTCCCTTGGGAGATGGAGGACTCTCCTTTATTGGAGTTTTGAAAGCAGAGGTCAGATGGCCACTTGTCAGGGATTCTTCAGTTGTGATTCCTGCATTGCAGGGAGTTGGACTAGATGACCCTTGGGGAACCCTTCCAACTCTATGATTCATGACTACACACAGCAAACACAGGCAGGGATCCTGGGTGCAGCATTTGGTACTTGGGAAATATGTACTCTGGTTTTTAAAAGAAGTGTTCCGGATTATATATGTTTAAGAGTTGCAAAAAGCAAACAGATAAAACAAACCCAGCAGTGTGAATATTTGCAGAGCGATGGCCAGTCAAGTCCTGGGAATCAGAGGGAGGGGAGGACAGCATTCTCCAGCCATGTCTCAAGGGTCCTTAACCCTCTCAACAAATCATCAGATCAATAAAGCTGACCTGGGCCAGCCTTAACATTAGGCAGAGGGAGCTGGGCTCCAGCAACAGCTGATTTTTTCAGGGCAACCTTTGAGTGGCATTTGGTCAGTTATAATTTGGTATTAAGCAGAGCTTTTGCCACCAGGAAGAGGTGCTCTGGGGGAGTTTCCAGTCTCAGATTTCTAAAAATCTCAGCCTAACCTTCCTCGCAAGGTTGTTGTGAAGATAAAATGAGGAGCAGCAGAACCATGTATGCCACTCTGAGCTGCTTGGAGGAAAAGGTGGGATAAAGAATGCAATGAATGTAATATTTAAAAACTAAAAACAACAAAATGGGGCGGGGGGAGTGGAAGCCTGCCACATGCCAGACCATTTCAGCCTATATAAGGCTTCAGCTGGTTCATGGCGGAGAAGGCTACTGATAGCTACTAGCCAGAATGGCTCTGCCCTGCCTCTATGGTGGGAGGCAGCAATGCTTCTGAATACCAGCTGCTGGAATTTGCTCTTGTCTTGCTTGTGGGTTTCCCTTTGAGGAATCTGGTTGGCCTCTGTGAGAACAGGATGCTGGACTAGGTGGGCCACTGGCCTGATTCAGCAGGCTGTACTGCATGGGTAGGCAAACTAAGGCCCAGGGGCCGGGGCCGGCCCAATCGCCTTCCAAATCCGGCTCGCAGACGGTCCAGGAATCAGCATGTTTTTACATGAGTAGAACGTGTCCTTTTACAGTGGTACCTCGGGTTACATACGCTTCAGGTTACATACGCTTCAGGTTACAGACTCCGCTAACCCAGAAATAGTGCTTCAGGTTAAGAACTTTGCTTCAGGATGAGAACAGAAATCGTGCTCCGGCGGCGCGGCAGCATCAGCAGCAGGAGGCCCCATTAGCTAAAGTGGTGCTTCAGGTTAAGAACAGTTTCAGGTTAAGTATGGACCTCCAGAATGAATTAAGTACTTAACCCGAGGTACCACTGTATTTAAAATACATCTCTGGGTTATTTGTGGGGCCTGCCTGGTGTTTTTACATGCGTAGAATGTGTGCTTTTATCATCTCTGGGTTATTTGTGGGGCATAGGAATTCAGTCATTTATTTTTCCCAAAATATAGTCTGGCCCCCACAAGGTCTGAGGGACATACACCGGGCCCCTGCTGGAAAAGTTTGCTGACCCCTGCTCTACTGCCCGCAGAGGTTAACATCTTTATAGTCCTTCCCTTAGCCTCTTGGACCTGTCCAGGGTCCTGAATCACAGCTGATCTGTGACTGTTCTTAACCTGAGGTACCACTTTAGCTAATGGGGCCTCTCGCTGCCGCCATGCGATTTCTGTTCTCATCCTGAAGCAAAGTTCTTAACCCTAGGTACTATTTCTGGGTTAGCGGAATCTGTAACCTGAAGCATCTGTAACATGAGGTACCACTGTACAGAGTGCATCTGCCCAAAATCGAGTCAAAGTCTCCACATAACTTCAATGAAACATAGAACAGGGAAACGGACTCTGTGTTTTGAAGTTCGCAAGGAATTATGGTCCATCTCCCCTGACTTTGCGGGCTGGTTTCATTGGCATTGTTTGTAGGAGAAAGCTTCCTGTTTAGAGCTTGCCAGATGGTTGTCCTTCAAAACCATGGATGGTGGAGTGGAAACGCTGTGGTGGAAATGGGAACTTATACAACAATGCAGTCTGGACAGGGAATGGATATGGCGAAAGGGGAACAACAGTGGGAAGGATAGATCCAGATTTTACACACAAGCAAGATGAAGAGAAAGAAATAATACAGAGACAAGAAGTAATGATTTAAGGTGGGGAGGCAAAGGGTTGGGTAACCTCATTTGTTTTTAAGGGAATAAGAAAATATACAAGCTGGAATTGATAAATAGACAGCCGAGAGAAAGGGGGGAAATTAAATTTTAAAATGTGGAATTATAGGTTAAATATAAGCAATGGAATGTGAATTGGAAAGAAATATGCAATATAAAGCAGTAAATAGGGGAAAGAAGGGACACATCTACAAAGAAGAGTGGGAAGGCAATGGGAAAACTGCATTACATTTGATGTAATTTAACACTTACATGTTAAAAACTTGGAAAATAATAAAAAATATTCGACAGAAAAGAAAAAGAAATGCAGAACAAAACTGGTTGTTCTCTTACCTCCTTGTCTTCATCGGACAGAGGATGGCAGTCCGACAGATCTTCTGCTGACGACGACTCACCCATGTAGTCGTAATGCCTGATGCGGCCGCGTGGCGACGGTCTAAGAAGCTCCTCGTCATCCTTTGTGCAATTGGTCTTCACCATATACACTGTGAATTCCATTATGAACCCGGGGGCGTCCTGAAGCCAGGAAGGAGAGACATTTCATTATTACTTTTTTAAAATTCTTCTTTATTGATTTAAAATATCATCTTACATATATATTACAGACAGTTACATCAAAATTAAACATATAATAGAATTAAAAATATAATAGAAAAAAGATAAATAAAATAAAAATAAAAAGCAAAAAAGAGTTAACAATCAGAAATAAATATTGGTTAGAACATCCTGTCTTTTCTAATAAAGTCTTCTGAAAGAAACTTCCAGTCGTTCTCGTTGTACTTTTTTCTATTGTCTTAATTTTATCACACAGTTTGTTTTGTAACTTTTCCTGTATATTCATCCAGTATATTTATTCCATTTGTTTATTATAGACAAGTATCATTCAGTTCTGCTAGGATAACGTCATTATTACAATATCATCTTATATATTCTTTGAATAGTCTCCATTCTCTGAATATTCTTTGATTTGGGGCTCCTCTGACTTTTCCGGTCAGCTTTGCTAATTGAAAGTACTCTTTGTTGTTTAGTCATTTAGTCGTGTCCGACTCTTCATGACCCCATGGACCAGAGCACACCAGGCACTTCTGTCCTCCACTGCCTCCCGCAGTTTGATCAAACTCATGCTGGTAGCTTCAAGAACACCATCCAACCATCTCATCCTCTGTTGTCCCCTTCTCCTTGTGTGAAAGTACTCTACTCTAGCATGAGTGATTGCCAGTCTATTCTTGTCGGTGTTGTTTCACATTTCCAACTTCCAAGAAAGGGAGACATTTCAAGCCTTCCTGTTCTCGATGTGAAATGTTGCGTTAAGCCAGGGCTAGTTCAACCAAATCCCAGTAGCTGCTTCAAAGGTGAGGGCCCAAGCCTGAGAACATACATAATTGAGGAAGGGCTCCTCAAAGCACATGCAAAGCTTTTCTTTTGCCTTAATGTTGTCTCACCCAGCTCTTCACAACAGCCTTCACCTTTCAACCTGTGGCTTATGGGGGCCAGGTCAGAAGATGTAGGTTCTCAGGCATGGTCCCCTCAGGAGGCCCTTCCCTTTTAGAAACTGGGAGCAAGGCCTTCCCCCTCCCCATCCCACCCCCAGTTCCTGGGCCTGTTCCTCTGTGGCCCACCAGCCTAGTGGGTAGAGGCAGGAGAGATTTTTGCCTAAGTCCCTCAAATCCTATGGAGAGAAAACCAAAGGCTGAAGGTTGCAATTTAGAAAAACAAAACAAAAAACTCACTTGATGTTCTCAGGTGGCAGGGGGATGGGGGACGATTCCTGGAGCTGCCCGATCATGGTTCTCCATTATTAAGCCCACCCATGAAATTGCAGTTCCCTTTCCACAGAACTGAGACCATTGCACCATCTATCTATCATCTACCTACCTACCTACCTACCTACCTACCTACCATCTGATATGTTTCATTTGCACAAAAGTAATTTTTTATTTTTTATTTTATTTGTAAATCACTCTAAATACCTGTAAAAATATTTCTAAAACTAATGTTTTTTTTTTTGTTTTTTGTTAATTGGTATTTGAGCAAGCAGAGGGAGGAGACCAAGGCAGGGCGGGTGCATCAGAACTAGAGAGAGACCTACCAAGGAATCAAAAAAGAGGAGCGGGGAATATCGGTGGCCCTCGAGATGTTTTTGGACACCAGCAGATTCAGTAGCCAGAATGGCTAATGGTCAGCAATGCTGGGCATTTAGCAGCATCTGCAGATGTACCCGGACCGGGAGCTGAAGGGAACCCCATGAACCCCAGAACATACACAAGTCGGACCAGCTGTATTCCCAGCTGAAGGCAGCCTCAGTGCCTTTTACCAGCTGCGACTGTGGTCCAGCTACAACCATTTCTGGACCAGGAAAGCCTGACAGTAGTTCGTGCACTGGTGACTTCGAGACTGGATTACTGCAATTCGCTCTGTGTGGGGCACCTCTTCCGTCTGATCCAGAAGTTAGTGCAGAATACTGCAGCACGATTGCTGAGAGGAGTGAGGCCCTGTCACCACCACACTGGTGCTAAGATACTTGCACTAGTTGCTGATTTTTCTACTGTTAATGGTGTGACTGGGGTCTGTTTACTGGCGAGATCGCCTTACCCCATACGTGCCCACTTGACCTCTTCAGTTGGTGCCACAAAGTGCTCATTCCCCATCTGTAAGAAATTGATATTTTAGAGTGGCAGCACCTACACTTTGGAACTCCCTGCCTCATGATCTCAGGTAGGCATCTTTGCTGCATTCTTTCCAGTGCATGCTCGGGACGCGGGTGGCGCTGTGGGTAAAACCTCAGCGCCTAGGACTTGCCGATCGCATGGTCAGCGGTTCGAATCCCCGCGGCAGGGTGCGCTCCCGCTGCTCGGTCTCAGCGCCTGCCAACCTAGCAGTTTGAAAGCACCCCCGGGTGCAAGTAGATAAATAGGGACCGCTTACTAGCGGGAAGGTAAACGGCGTTTCCGTGTGCGGCTCTGGCTCACCAGAGCAGCTTCGTCACGCTGGCCACGTGACCCGGAAGTGTCTGCGGACAGCACTGGCTCCTGGCCTCTAGAGTGAGATGAGCGCACAACCCTAGAGTCTGTCAAGACTGGCCCGTACGGGCAGGGGTACCTTTACCTTTACCTTCCAGTGCATGCTAAAAGCCTTTTTTGTTTAGGCAAGCATTAGAACATTGACGTGTATTTTAATTTGGACAAACTTTTTTTTTTTTTGCGGGAAGGGGAGCAAGAAAAAAGAGCACACACCCACACACCCCTCCCTGGGGCTTCCCAGCCACCTGCTCCTCTTACCTTGATTTTAAACTCTGCATCCTCGTATAGCTTATAGAAATGTTTGGGGTTCTGCGCATTAAAGTAATCTGTAATCTTTCTCTTGAAGTAATCCCTGAGAAACTGAGAATGCTCTTCATCTTTCAACCTAAGCCGATCGTGTTTCGCCCTTTCCTCGTACTCTTCCTCCGATGTGAGCGGCCGTGGTGCTGGCCCTCGACAACAGTGCCACTGTCCTCCATCCCCTGATTCCGGCTGATTCTCTTCTTCCTGTGCCCCCCATGCCGGCTGACCCAAGAGCAGGACTCCCAAGAGGAGCAGTGGCAAACACAGCCAGGATCTGGTCATTGTGGCAAGGAAAGGCTGGGAACTCAGAGGCTACCCGGCTGAAGGCAAGGAGCCTACAGATATAAGGATGGAGGAGGCTCCGCCCCTAGTGGCTCCGCCCACCCCAACTGGAAGGACCCCACCTCCTCCAAGACACATTGCCAGATCAGAGAGATGAAAAGTGAGTTGAGTCTGAGAACCCAGCACAGGCTTGTGACCTCAGCCTCAGCCTCTGGGAGGTCCCTTTCGCTCCTCTGATTCAAATACCTCTCATAACAAGCTACTGTCTACTAATCAAAACAGGCTCTTGGAGATTTATTTCTTTGGCCCTCTGTTCTCCCCAGTGAGGCCTCCAGGATGCTACAGTCCACTTCCCTGGGATGCCATGAGGTGAGGGGGCGTCCCAAGGATGAACACCCAGAAGAGGGTTATTTTATTTTATTTCAAATATTTCATTGTTTTCACCAGTGCTTTTTTCTGGGGGAAGGGGAACGCAGGGGTAAACATTTTGTGAATCTTTGTACTTTTGTCCATTTACTGTATTTATTTTTCCTGATTTGTACTATAAAAGGGTGCTTTTCTGGAGTCAAAATGAGAGCACCCCTAAACATTTTTTTAAAAGAAAAAAAGCACTGGTTTACACTGACTTCTACAAGAAGGAACAGTCAATACTCAACAATAGACAACAGATGTCTATTTAATTACATTTAACTTTTAAGTCGTTTCTGTTTTTAAACTAAGGTGCCATTTCACAAATCGCCGTGTCTCCTCGGAGGCCTATAACCATGCTCTGTCAAGGTTGCATAGGCTATAAAACTATGCCAGGAACGGACCTTAGCTAAGTTCGTAACCAGAGGTACCACTGTATACAGCCTTGTAGCCGCAGCCTACTGCTAAGTAAAGTTTGTTCCTTCTAATGCAGCCTGTGTGGGTATTGCAAATGCCACATGGTGAGAGCAGTGGGATAGCTGTAGTTCAAAGTGCCACCAAGACGCCAGAGAAGATTTTGGACTCTGATTTGCCTGTGACTACAGTGGTACCTTGGGTTAAGAACTTAATTTGTTCTGGAGGTCTGTTCTTAACCTGAAACTGTTCTTAACCTGAGGTACCACTTTAGCTAATGGGGCCTCCCGCTACCACTCGATTTCTGTTCTCATCCTGAGGTAAAGTTCTTAACCTGAGGTACTATTTCTGGGTTAGCTGAGTCTGTAACCTGAAGCGTCTGTAGCCTGAGGTACCACTGTATATCACAGGAGGCAGAGTAACCCGGTACTCTGGATCACTTGTAATCTTGTAGATGCTACCATAATTGCTAATCCTGCATCTAGTTCAGGACAGACTCCAAATCTCATCCCCCCCTGGTCCTGCCAGCCAAGTAGATGGGAGTCCAACAACGTCAAAGGGGCAGGCATCACAACTTCCTTATCCCTTCTCTGAGGACTCCCCCAAACCTCTATATCTCCTCTCTGTACCCATGGAATCATAGAATTGTAGAGTTGGAAGGGACCTCCAAGGCTCATCTAGTCCAACCCCCTGGAGTGCAGGAATGGCAGCTCAGTTTTTTCTTTAACTTGCCCCTCTGGCACCACTGCCTGTCCTGCTCCAGGCAGCAACCCCCTCTTCTCCTCTCACTTCATCCCCTCTTCCTAACCAGCTCCCTGGCCAACCCAGTTCCCTGCCTCTGCCCTCACTGCCAAGGTCAGCAAAAGAGAAAACAGCATACGAAGCATGGGGGAAATGAAGCGCTATTTAAAAAATGAACAAGGGCATCAAATTGCCATTCACCTGGATGCAATTATGTCATCAGTAACTGTATTATTTCGTTGTGCTTCTGGACATCTTACAAGGAAGATGCAATTCTGAAAGAGCTCACTCACCAGGGTTTTCTTTGGCAAGGTCCAGCCGGGAGCATTATCCATGTGGAATGATGGTACCCAGTTCTCAAACACCCCATGGGCCAAGAAAAATGTCAGGTGATGTCTGAAAAGAGGCCAGCTTTGGATTATTGCCACAATAAGCCTGACATTTCCATCGCTTTGATGGAAAGGTTCTAAATGTCACTGAGCAGTGTGACATGGCACTCCTTGAGCCTTAATTGCAAGATTAGAATGTGATTTGGCTAGGACACACGCTTGGCTTGCAGAACACCTCACTTTCAGGCATCTCCAGGTGAAAGCAAAGCAGACTTTCCTGAGGCTGATTCTGGAAATGGAATCAACATTTTAAGATCCTGGGCGGGGACAAGGATTGCTGAAGGAGACTGAAGAGAGCGAGCTTGTGGTTTTTGGAGCCTGAGGGTGTGTGTGGCTGATTGCTCTGTGGGGACACAGGATCTGAGGGGGAGGACTTATAGCTGAGAGGAAGCCAGGCTGAGGGATGTCAGGGACTGGACTGAAGAGGAGGGCTGGGGATCGCCCCCTCCTTCTCCTCTGCTTCCCTCGGAGGAGGAGGGGAAGGGGGGGGGGGAATTGCCCCACCTTCTCCAGCAGTTTCAAGAGAAAAGGGAGACAGGTTTGAATTACAGCAGATCTCAGAATATCACTGGCACAAAAATGGAAGCAAGAAGAATTACCGACGAAAGAAGAATGGCAGATGAAATTGATGGACTATGCAGAATTAGATAAACTAACAGGAAGGATTTGAAACCTACGGGACCATGATGAACTATTTGAAAAGTAACTGTAATGAACAGATTATGCAAGTAGGACTGCAAGAAGTTTTGTAAGGAGGACTGTTTGAAATATTGCAAGAAAGGCTATGAGGAGAAATATTAGTTAATGATCATTAAGAGTAATAGAGAAATTAAGAAATGCAGAATAAGTGATAAAGAATGGAAAATCATCAGAGATGTTGACAGAAGTCTAAAATATTTTATAAGATAAGAAGTTATGTTATATGATTGTTGGAAATGATATGTTAAAAAAACCAATAAAAATGTGTCTGTGAGTGTGTATAATTACAGCAGAACTTGGGCTGCCAAGTTATGAGGTGTTAGGAGAAGGACTGGGGAGGGGGAGAACTGCCAGCAGAGACGTCCTTGCAAAGCATGGAAGAGCCACCATCCCCATGTACATGCCGCTCAATTAGAATTCAAGACCAAAGGGCTCAACAACATTTGACTCCTGAGGCCCCCCATAGAGCCACGGGCTGTTGCTGGGGAAAGAAGAAAGGAGTTCAGAGTGAGAAACGTCACTATGGAGTTAGGGACTGGATTCTTTGTCTTGCACCATGATGACTGAATGAAACCATAAATATGAACTTTCTTGTTTCTTCCTTGATCCTTGATGCTACCGGGAGAGAATTCCCCCAAGCCTGACAAGGGAGGAGTTAGCAACCAGCAGCAGTCAAACTTAGCTCAGTGCAGATCCTGGGAGCTTGTGACCAGAGCTGGCAAACTGGGACGTTTACGAAGGCGTTTAGCAGGGGAGCTTAAGGGGGAGACCCAGAATTCTGTCTCTTGGTGTGCATAGGGCCAGAGACATGGAGGGCGAGGGAGCTGGTGCAGTGACCTATAACACCTGGGCCATGTTTGTCATTCTGCCAGAGAACAAGCAACAGTACCCTTGTAGCAATGGCAAGCTGGTTGAGGCCCACCTAGCCACACCTCAAGCAACAGGGCAACATGCAGAGTTTCTTGATAGAGCCGAGTTGGCTGAGATGGAGCACCAAGATAGATGGGGTGCCTCCAGAGTGGAGAAAGATTGCCCGTTGCAAGAGTCTAACCCCTGGAGGCATGTGGTGCACAGAAGTAGGACAGTCACAAGCCACACTTTGTCATTGGAGTTGCAAAATTGCTTCCATGCCCTCACCTTAGACCCTGATTCTGGGTCAGAGGAGCTAGGACAGCAGTTGCCAACCTCAGAAGACACGAAGGCAGCTGTGAAAGGTACAGTGCACAGAATGATTATTGCACCCTCCAGAGGTGAAAGAGACAGGAGGAGATGGATTCAGAAGGGTCTTTTTCCATTCTTGATCTAACCCCGTTAGATCTAAGGCTACTGACCCGTGGATGAGTATGCTGATAGGGTCCTTGCTGCCTTCCGTGGAGACGATGTTGGAGAAAGGGAATTGCAGCCTAGAGATGACAAGCTGGGAGGAAGGGGCGGCGGGCGCGTCCGCAGGGGTGGGGCAAGAGAAATGGTCATTTTTTTCTATTTGAGGGTGAGAAAGTAGGGTCACAACTGTTGTTATAGGTTTAGGCAGGGTGGGTGGGTGGGTTTTAGTCAGACCTCCTGTGGGTCTCTTCCAAACCTATGATCCTGTGTGTATGTGAGGCTAGAGCAGAGGTCAGCAAACTTTTTCAGCAGGGGGTCGGTCCACTGTCCCTCAGACCTTGTGGGGGGCTGGACTATATTTTGGGGGAAAACAAACGAAGAACATTTTCCTTTTTTTAAGGGTAATTCCCTTATTCCGAATAGGATTCCTCGCAAGAAAATGGAAAATTTGACAGCTGTGCATTCTACTCATGTAAAAACATGCTAATTCCCAGACCATTCGCGGGCCAGACTGAGAAAGCGATTGGATCCGGCCCCCGGGCCTTAGTTTGCCTACCCATGAAAGCTGAAAGTTTCAGGACAAAGGAAAGGACTTCTTCACTTAGTGCATCATTTATACAAGTATATAATCTTCATCCCATTTTAGGCTGTACCTTCATGGTGAGAAGCTGAGGCACACAAGTGGAGCACTCAAGTTCTCCTTTGGGTTTCTCAGAGAGTCAGAGAGGTTAGAGTATTAGACTAGGACTTGGAAGACCAGGGTTCAAATCCCCGCTTGGCCGTGAAGCTCCTGGGGTTTCATTGGGCCAGTGCTTGGACATGTTTCCTGCCTCAGATATCACAAATCTCAGCCTAACTGACCTCACAGGGTTGTTGTGGGAATTAAATGAGGAGGCAAAAATCCATGAACGTCTTGAAGAAAAAGGTGGGATATACGATAAATGCAATAGATAGATCAATAGATTGATAGATTCTATAGGAGGAAGTTTCCTGAAACTGTCAGGCAAGTTCCTTTGTCAAGCTAATGACCTATCATCTGCCATGCATATCTTAAAGAGTGA